TGCAGGTGTGGCTTGCAGTGTGCAGGACGCCTGTGTGCTCAGAGGTGAGGGAGGATTGCTGTGTGCCCCGGGCGGGGATGTGACTCTTCATATCATAAGGGTCCTGAGCACTTTTCTAAAAGTAAAACTGCCTTAAATGACATTTATGCCACAGGTGAAAACCCGTGGTGCTTGAGGAGAGCTCAGAAGCGGGTTGAGACCGTTGGTACATTTTGTCCTAAAGATGGACCTGTTTTCACTAGAAATCCAAGCTCTTCCCTTCTTTTTCTTTTCTTTTCTTTCTTTCTCTTTTTTTTCAAGAGACAGAATTTCACTTTGTCGCCCTCAGTAGAGTGCCATGGCATCACAGCTCACAGCAGCCTCCAGCTCTTGGGCTTAGATGATTCTCTTGCCTCAGCCTCCTGAGTAGCTGGGACTACAGGCGCCCGCTACAACACCCGGGTATTTTGTTGTTGTTGTTGTTGTTGCAGTTCGGCTGGGGCCCGGTTTGGACCCGCCACCCTGGGTATATGTGGCCAGCGCCCTACTCACTGAGCCACCGGTGCCGCCCTCGTCACCTCTTTTGAGGCCACCTCAAGTATGCCCCCTCCTGCGGCCCTTGCCCTATTCTGAATTGATATTGCAGCTGTAGATGAAGCTGTATAATCCGGCCCCTGACCTCTTGGAATTGTCTACGGGCAGAAGAGGGCCAGGCAGCCCTGTGCTGCAGCTCATTTGTGTCGGTCCTAGCAGAGGGCCTGCTGTGCCGGTGCCCAGCACCACTGCTGGGTGTCGAGGTGGCCTGCAGCCTCGTGCTGCTGGTGGCCTGTTGAGGTTCTGCTTGTTAGTAACCTGCCGGGTGACCCTGGCCGACACAGCGGGCAGGGAGGGGACAGAGACAGTGTGACCTCTCTCAAGTGAGTTTGTTACTGTGTGGTATTTCTGGATTGTCAGTGGCAGCTGTGGGTGGTACTGGGTTTTGGTCTTTGCATAGTCAAGAACTTACCTTTAATTTTTAATGAAGATCACAGGTTCACGGAGCGAATGCTTATTGAGTGGTGTGCTAGCAGGGAAATGTGTTTGCTGTGTGTAACTGCAGGGGGAATTAGGACTCACTGCCACTTTGAATCTCTTGGGGGTTCTTCCTCTAGCTGGGTGTGCAGAGGTAAGCTGCCTCGTGCCCCCTCCCTGGACCTCAGTGTCACCTGCAATCCCTATAGATCGCACATCATACCACTTAGTGGGCAGGCTAGGGTCTTTCCCCTTCACTGCCTCTCACATTGGAGCTCACGCTTCTAAAGAGTCGCAGGCCACCATTGTCCCTTGACAGCGAACTTGTTTTTGTTCTTTCTGTGCATCCCGAGAGGTGGAAGGCACCTGGGGCTCGTAGACAGCTGTGGAAGGCTCAGCTGAGCAAAGCTCACCTTGACCTTGGCCCTGTTGTGTGCGTGTATTACATGCATGCACCTGTGTCATTGGTGCCTGCCTGACACCACAGGAAACCCGTGGGGCCCCCTGCTGGGAGTGGGGCTGCTATGTGTGGTCCAGTTTAGTCCCAGACCTTCTGGTACCAAAGCTGATTGACAGCAGACACTGTTTTTCATCTGTGAGTCACGATGATGAAATAGTTTAGATTTAGTGAATCATAACAAGCGCCAACAAGCAAATAGAACAGAATGGAAGGAGAAGCTGCTCGAGGCAGAAACCTCTGGGCGTCCCCAGCAAGCTTCGAACACAGAGGCAGCTGGTGAGCGCGTGAGCAGAGGCCTAGGCTCACTCATGACGCTGCCTGTGGCTTTTCTGGAATGTAATGGCCACTTAATCAGGCCTGTGTTGGGGGGGTGGTTAACTGCTTGTCAACTTGAGGCACACTGGTGGTGAACAGAAGTACCCGAGAGTTCACCTGTTGTCAGCAAAAGCATCAAAACTTCCAGCTGAGATTGGACTGTACGTTATCAGTCCGTTTGGGGGGAGGACTTTATGAAGAACATTTTTGGGGGTGTGTGTAACAATTGTATTATTTGAACCAGTACTATTTGTACTTAATGGATTGCTTTATTATTAGGGGAAAAATTAATGACAAACTGAAAAATACAGAAATGTGTTCAAATACAGTTGTAGAATCTGGAAGTGAAAATTAGGGTAATAGTTTGACGCTCAGGTTTCTAATTCATTTGTACTGTATTCTGAAAAGAAGTGATAAGTGTTTAAAATATGGCTTACAGGGCTGGGCATGGTGGCTCACACCTGCAGTCCCAGCACTCTAGAGGCTGAGGCGGGTGGATTGCCTAAGCTCACAGTTTCGAGACCAGACTGAGCCGGAAGGAGACCCCCCCCCCAATCCCTAAAATAGCCGGGCGTTGTGGCGGGCACCTATAGTCCCAGCTACTCAGGAGGCTGAGGCAAGAGAATTACTTGAGCCCAGGAGTTTGAAGTTGCTGTGAGCTATGACACCATGGCACTCTGCCATGGGTGACAAAGTGGAGACTCTGTCTCAAAAAAAAAAAATGGCTTACAAAATGTACAACACCCCCCAAAAGGCCTATCTTGATGCATTAGCTGTAAGGATAGTCTTAGAAATGAAAACTTCAGTCTTGCAAAATCAAAGACAGTCAAACACAGCTTACTGTCCCTGCTTGCTGGATTCTTATTTATTTATTTATTTATTTTTGAGACGGAGCCTCAAGCCATCCCCCTGGGTAGAGTGCCATGGCATCACAGCTCATAGCAACCTCCAACTCCTGGGCTCAAGCGAGTCTCCTGCCTTAGCCTCCCAAGTAGCTGGG